ATCTCGATTTCAAGTTTTTAGTTGTCTACCGCTACTCTGATATTTAGAAAAATCATAACTTCGTCATACGAAATAAGATTTGGACTTTCTTTTTATGTATGTTCACGGGTTGATGATATCTACGACATTCATTTAGGCACCTAAGGCTAAAAAGTATTTTGTTGAGATTTCGCGTTTTACGTTTAACAGTGTTTTACCGGTTTTGTTGCTGAACTTTGATTGGTCATAACTTCTTCGTTATAACTCGGATTTTCATGTTCTTTATATTTTTGAAAACCTTGTTACGATATCTACCACTTAGTATATTCATAAAGAGAGTTTTGAACATTTCATTTTCGACTCTTATATTACTAATTTCATAATAGGTTACAATATTTGAGCATAGAACATTACATTGATTTGAAATATCAGGTTGCCACTTAGTGTTACCTCATTTTGTCAACCTCCAGCTTTAGAATCATTCATTCTCCTAAATACTAATGTCTAAAGTTAGTTTTTAACCTTGTTCATAATCTTGTGAAGATTGGAATAGAAAGGATACCATTCTTGCTGCAAGGAAACTTTAACAACAACCTAGATCCAACATTTCCATCCATTCCCTAGGCTATTATAAGTGTAAAGTTCCAAGATTGATGCTTTATCTCTTAAATCTTGAATTGTAACACTTTTGATCTTTTTTTTTTTGTCCCTTTCGTTGTATTCTGGGAGTTTCTAGAACTCTAGAATCTTGTGGATGTCTTATGTTGCTCCTGGACATATAAGATGATAAAAAAAAAAAAGGGAATGCATGCACTTCCCAATGTACATGCATGAGTTTTTAATCCTTTTAGGAGTCATGATTAGAGTTTTGTTATGATTGAGCCTTAAGGATGGATAAAATTGTAAACTTTATCCATTAAGTCACTTAGAAAGATCGAATATGTAAGTTTGGACTTCTATTGGAAAGGATTAAGCACTTACTAGAATAAGTACATCGGGATGGAAATCGCCACACGACCAAGGAAGGCACGCGCCACGAATCTTAGACTGATGTTGTAACTATTTTTTGCCTAGTGGTAGTGATGTGATGAAGATCTAGTCGCAGCATGTTGATCATTGACTTTGACAATTATCAATTGACTTTTTTTGACAAGTGTGTAACTTTTGGTCAAACTTTGTCAGAAATGAGTATTTAACTAAGGTTTAGTCTCAAATTAATTTTAGGAGGAATACAATACATGTTCGTTGTAAAGATTGCTTTTGATATTCTATGGTTAGCTTTGGTAAATTTTCTCACTACACTCTATATCACATTAAATGCTTAGTGTGATAGTTTGTATGGATATGGTTAGTGTACATTTATGTATTAGGTTGGTTAGTCTATTTGTTTGGTAGGCCTTGATTCTAGGAGATGATGGCTATGTGCCTATAGGCCCATTAGAATGGAAGTTAAAACTTCAATAAGTCTTTGGGATGATGACTATGTACGTATAGGCACATTAAGGTGTTGACTATGAGATGCATTTAGCTAGAAGTTCTCCATGTGTTTGGGAGGATTGTTTTGTGCTATAGGCCCTCTAAGGTGTAGACGATGAACCTGGTTTGTATTGCATTGTATATGTAATATGATATATGGTATTTTAAAACTCACTAAACTTTGTGCACTCAGTTGTGGATTAACTGTTTTTCATATAGTTTTGCTGATTTTGGAATGGACACAATTTGACTGTACCACACGTGCATCATTGTTTTTTTATGATTTAGACTTCGGTTGATTTTATGATACAATGGTTGGACAAAAGAGGTATTTTTATTACTTTTAAAAACACAAATTGATATTTGAAATATAGGTGGTTATAACTACCTTTCAAAGACATTCACGATATAACTTACTACGGTGTAAGAGGAAGTTGTTTACCCTAGAAACTCAAGGCCAAGTTCATCTAAAGCTAGGCAGCATGATAAACGGGAGAAGAACAAAAGGGTTTTAAAGAAGCACGACTTCGAACATGTATAACGTCTAATCCATCAAGAATTATGAGACTATGGACAAAATTTTGTAAAGGAGGCAGAAGCAGACGAATAAGGTTTGGCCCACCTGACGGCTCATATTTCATAGTAACATGTAACTTTAAATGTTTTTTTGGTTTAAAATTGTTCATCTTCAATTGTAAAACTATGTGATATGATTTCCTCAAATCATATGGTTTTTTATCTGGTGATAATTAATTTTTAAGAATTTTAATTTTTTGTAAAGTTGGCAATGTGTGTCAAATTTGTATCCGTCATATTCGATGTTTGCTTTTTCAGATCCAGCCTTAGCTAAATAATGTTATCTAGTCACTTTCTAGTTGGGTTCCTTTTTATAAAAATTTGCTGTTAAAAAATGAAAACTAAATAATGTTAACTAAATTATGTGTGGCTGCGTAATTGATATCAGATTAATGCAAGTTTACATAAAATACATTATAGACGCTTAAAATGTTTAAAATTGTATTTTAATTTTAAAAATATATCACTTTCGCTTTAAAGGGGTGATACATGAAATAAAGCCGAAGAACATGAACCCATATAACGATAATAACGTGGATTTTCTTAAACATACAATGTGCAATTGAATTGTTGCCATGTCCCTTTTACGTGGACCACTACATTATTTAATCAAGTTTTTATATCACTTGAATGTAGGAGCAAATAACAAACGTTTTTTTTTAATAAAACATCAATGTAAATATATCATAATGGTAACTCTTAATGAATTATCATTTTAATAATATATAATAAATGGTAACTCTTAATCACTAACAATAAAATTAGTTAGTATATGAAAAACTAAATGATATGCAAAAAAACAACACTAACTATAAAGTTAGTTAGATCATGCACATCGGTGGATGACTATTGATCTTTCAAATGTGCTAAATCATCTTTTATGATTACCACTTTTTAATTTATAACTTTAAAAAATATTTAAAATATATTATAATTATTATATATTATATATCATGTGTGTTGTATCTATCATAATAAATGAAAATGTTATTGCCACTTGTCATTCTCTCATTTAATTGGTTACATGTCATTTTGCCATAATTTTGAAATATATATTTATTTTCCACTTGTCAATTACTTTATTATTCATTTCCACTATATCATTAAGGGTAAAGTACACCATTCGTCCCTCGTACATGTGTCCAAAAGCTCGTTTAGTCCCTATTTTCAAAAATTAACTCGGACCGTCCCTTGATTCTGTTTTTCTTGCACGTTTAGTCCCTAATGACATAAAATGACTATTTTACCCTTAATAACTTCTTTTACAATTTTATTTTTATTTACTTATCATTTTAATATTGAAAAAGAAAATGAAAAAAAAATATATCTACACCCCAACTTACCCTCCCCTTCCCTTTCCCCAGCTTTGTCTCCCTCTTTCTCTCCCACTCTTCCTCTCCATTGATCGGACATCGACCATCAATAAAATCACTACCATCGAGCCATGAATTATCGTAACCCGGTATAGCCCCAACACCCTTCATTCTCACATTCTTGCATTAGTCTGCAGATCCTTCGAACAACACGGTTACGCTCCATGGGAGGTTTACGATATTGATGTTTTCAGGAACAATGCTTCCACCATCGGCGCCTACCTATGCTGGTGGGTTGTGGGTGTTTTTTGCAAGCGAAAGGGGGCAAGTGGTGGGTAGGATCCTGTTTGGTACATTAGTTGCTTCTAGTCCGATAGTGCGTGTGGCGGATTTGGCGATCTTAGAACTGAAAAGATGAAGGTGAAGGTTTGAAACCCTAGGCGGCGTCGATCTGAAACGTTGGAATGCACACTGGAGATTAAAGAGGGAGTATTCAGATTGTAGACAAAAGAGGAAGGTTGTGGTCCGTCGATGGTGGAGGGTTGCGGTGGTGGTGGTTGTAGATTCTGGTGGTAGTGATAGTAGATTCCGACAACTCTGTTTCTTCTTACAAGCATCACCACCATTTTCCTTCAAGATTTTCCCAAATCAATTTTTCCTTAGTCGCATCACAATCTGTCACTATAATCGATGATGGTGGTGGTTGGTGAATATGTTACAGTTACTGATAATTGCTTGGCGGTAATGGTCCGACAATTATCATCTTTTTTCCCTTTCATCGATCTTTTTTCCTTTTCATCGACTATGTATGTGTGTATGTGTTTTTCTTCACTCGGTAATAGTTAATGGCAGAAAGGTTGGGGAAAGTGAAAGGGAGGGGCATTTATTTTTTTTAATTGAAAAGTATAATATAAACGTTAAATTAATGTAAAAATAAAAACAAAAGGGTATTATGGTCATTTAAAATTTAGCAAGGACTCAGTACGCAATAAATTCGTCTTTGAGGGATGAAACGTGCAAGGTTAAATCAAACGAGGGACGGTCCGAGTTAATTTTTAAAAATAGGGACTGAATGTGCTTTTTGGCACCTGCACGAGGGACGATCGGTGTAATTTACCCTATCATTAATTTAGTTTTGACAAAATTGCAAAAATGGTCCCTGTGGTTGGCAAATTTATGGGTTTTTGGTCCAAAACGAAATGTTGGTGCACCACAGGTCCAAAATTGAATCTTTCTATTGTTTTTGGTTCCTATCAACATAAAAAGACTATTATACCCTTATATTTAATTTTTAATTTGCTTTATATATCTAATCAAATGTTTTTCATTAATTGAAATTAAGAAAAAGGCCTCTCTCTCTTTCTCTCTCTCTCTCTCTCTCTCTCTCTCTGTGTTAAGAGTTCTTGTGAAAGTCAACTTGCTAGATCAAGAAAACAGAATTCTTTTCTTCTTCCTGGTTCACTATGGTTTACACAAAAAGGTTAAGCATTTGTTTTTGTCTCTTTATTTTGAACACCACCTTCTTTTGCCATTAAAATCCGTCAAGCGAGCCTCAAAACACCACCATCTACTGCCTTCTTCCGTTTTTGGGAGCTTACCACCAAAAACCATTAGGAACCGTTGTTGTCTCCATCAATAACCACCACCGATGTTTGATCACCGTGAATCACCATCAAACATCATCCCATATCCTACTCCATCTCGACCCTTGTCTTTCTCGGTGAGCCTAAACAAGGACGAAGTATCATAAGGTTGTCGGACCAACCCCCTACCGCTGGAGCTCTTTCCTCCACCAACAAATATCATCGTCACTGCTACTTCTTCCATCCACCATACCCAGCTCCGTTCGCCTCTATCATCATCGAGCTTGTCGGAACAGGAAATGGAAGCAGCGAAGCTGCCATTACCGCCCGCTGTCGTTGCTAATGTGGAGCTCCGACACCATTGCTGCTGCCTGCTGCTGTTGCCACCGACCGTCTCCGAACTGCCACCATCCCTGTCATCATAGTAAGCTTCATCCACACCCCTCAGTTTTCAAACCAATAACATTCTATGTTCGATCGACCAACTGAAATTAAGAGACTATGGGTCTCGTCTGTAAAGCACGACCGGTAACGGAAAGAAGATGATATGTTCTTCTTCTTCGTTGTCTTCAGATCCCCTTCTTCTTCAATTTCATCATCATCAACTTCATTTCACACAAATACCTCATCAGAAACCCTAATTTTATCGTCATCGTCATCATGTTCTTCTTCTTCGTAGTCTTCTTCATATACTTTCGTATCCAACACTAGCTCTGCAAAACTCGAGAACCCCAAATTCCTCGATTCGATCCTCGCAACACCATCTCATATTTTCTTCGTATCATTGATGGCGAACAGATCCGGCAGAGTTGCTCCGTCGCAACCCTAATTTAATCACCAACATGCTTGATCCGTCGCAGACGACCGGAAATTAAAGTGGTAGGGAAGGAGTTAGCGAGGAGAGGCCAGAGGGCGGTGTTAGGTAAGGGTTTGATGGGAGTGTAGATGGCCGGAAATTAGGATGACGATTGAGAGAGAGAGAGAGAGAGAGAGAGAGAGAGAATTTTTATTAATAATAAAACATTAAATTAAATACAAAAAATATAAAAAATATATCAAAGGGCATATTCGTCATTTCAGGTTGGGTCTGGACTAAAAACACATAAAAATGTTAATCATAGGGACCAAAACAACACAAGATATCTAAAATTGGACTAGTGGTGCACCAACATTTCGTTTTGGACCAAAACTACATAATTTTACCAACCACAGGGACCATTTTTGCAATTTTGTCTTTAGTTTTCATAAATTAAACCTACTATAATAACTATTAATTTCAATTTTGAAATTTTTATTTTTATTTCAAATAAATTTACACTTTAAACCTTTGTATTTAACATTTTATTATAATAACTCGTTTACTACACGAGTCTAATAATTAAATACATAATTTTAGTTAATTTATTTTTTGCATTTTTTTTTTATAATTTTCACTTATTTTATATTTCAAATTCAAATAAACTTATCATTTAATCGCTCCTATTTAACATTATGTTTTAATTAACCCGTATAATATACGGGTTTCACAATTAGTAGAATAATACACTTAATACTGTACATCATAATTGATAAAGTAAATGATGGTCCCACTTATTTATTGTTGCAAGGCTTTTAACATTTGCAATAACATATTCAATGTGGCTTTCAAAGAGTGTCCATGTGGCTTTCAAAGAGTGTCCATGTGGCATTGCAAGGTAACTGAAAGCTCCCGATGTAGATGCTCTTAGTAGTTGAAAAACTAACTGATATGTAAAAAATAAGATTAACTATAAAGTTAATTAATAGCTGAAAAACTATCTGATATGTGAAAAACCAATTGTTACCATATAAGCTACCTAATAAAACTGAAGTTTTGAAAAATTTAACCGGTAACATACAAATATATAAAATGCGATACACATACATTCATAATTATATGTTATTCATAATTAACTAAGATATATTTCAGAAATTTTCAAAAAACTAAATATTAGCTTTTTTTAAAAAAAGCCATTTTATCCGTTGCTTTGAGCATATTAGGTTGGAAGGTATAAGTGTGATTAGTTACTTCGGCCATGACAAACACACAATCGTTTGATGTTTTGTAAAAATTAACCGGTAAACTAACAGAAATATATAAAATGATATAAAAATATATTCACAGTAGCGTTTTTTAGAATTAATTAAGATATATTTCTTAGATTTAAAAAAAAAACAAATTGAAAGCTATTTAAAGTAGTTTAAATGAAAAAACTATCTTATCAGTTGACTTGACCATATTAGGCCCAAAGATATAAGTGTTATTAGTCACCTTACCATGACAAACACGCAACTTTTGTGATGTAAGGAGTGCGGCTAGATTGAGCTTCGGTATGGTCACTCTTTCGAACATTTAATTCCCACTGTTTTCTATCCATCTCTCTCTCTCTCTCTCTCTCTCTCTCTCTCTATATATATATATATATATATATATATATATAGAGAGAGAGAGAGAGAGAGAGAGAGATGGATAGAAAACAGTGGGAATTAAATGTTCGAAAGAGTGACCATAGCGAAGCTCAATCTAGCCGCACTCCTTTTATATATATATATATATATATATATATATATATATATATATATATATATATATATATATATATATATATATATATATATATATATATATATATAAAGAATGATTATACGAAAAACTTATAAAATATATAGAGTTTGTCCATAAGAACAATGTGAATCTTATGGATGTATGTTTATATGTTAATATGAATAATTTTTTATTTTTAAGAAATGTTTTTAGGTTTTTAATTTCTTCTTATCTAATTTAAAGTTTTTTGGTTTTCCAAATTTCATGGTTTGTTTTTACTTTAAAAAAAATTTTAAGTTGAAGTTACGTAGTTTTAAGTGAGCATAATGAAGTTGATGATTTTGTTATTTAAATTGTTGTAAACAAATTATGTACAATAAAATGTTTCATTAGAAGTAGGTGTATTTTTTATTTTGAAGGTTTTGTATGAAAAAATAAAAACAAACCCTTATATATATATATATATATATATATATATATATATATATATATATATATATATATATATATATATATATATATATATATATATTCAAGATCAAATAAAAAGTAAATTTTTGGTAGGAATGTAAGAAATTTTTTTATATGCATATTTTCCTAGCAAAAAATGAAATTAATCATTAGATGATTAAAAAGTAAAATGATTCATAAGAAAAAATTCCGAAAAAAGCACATTCATGATTCATTTTTAGGTAAATTAATAAGAAAATTTACTTTTATAACAATTTTAATGAATATTAACAAAACCATCATAAAAATAAATTATCGAAATGTTTTTTCGGGATTTTTTTTGTTGAATGATATTATTATTGATTCATTTGTTTCTTTATCACCAAAAAAATAAATTGAAAAAAATTTTCTTACCGTCATACCAAAAAAAATTTCTTACTGGATATATATATATATATATATATATATATATATATATATAGTGAGGTTCAATAGAGAACCATAATTAACTAAGGAACCAATTGTGGGCATCGGAAATCATAATGATCAACGGCCAAGAAAATAGATGTACACTTTTACATTGGACACACAAACACCAGATTATACCAAAAAATCCACTCTTTACAAAAAAAACCCACCAATTTTTTTATCAAAAAAAAACCCGAAAATACCGTTGTTCACGATTTTTCATCCTCTTTCCATAGAGATCCACGATGATATATAACAAACGATTTTTTTTCGAAAAAACCCACTTCATTTTCTTTAATGAAAAAAGTTAAGGTCTATTTTTTATACAAAAAAAAAAATAATAAATATATCAAAATTCATATTTTTTGTACTTTTTAAACATAGATTCATATATATATATATATATATATATATATATATATATATAAACGATATTTTAGTTTAGATTCACATTGTGAACTTGTTCAGATTCATATTGTAAATGTGTTCAGATTTAAATTGTGAACATCCTCAAATTCACAGTGTATATAATAATAAATCAGATTCATAGTGTGAATCTGAACTGATCGGAGCTTTTTCACATTGTGAATGTTAAAATTTGAAATATTTACAGTTTAGATTCACAATGTGAATTTACACTGATCGAGTTTTTTTTTTTTTTTTTTTTTTTTTTTTGAACCTTCTCAGATTCACAGTGTACATAATAGTAATTCAGATTCACAATGTGAATCTGAACAATTCAAGATTTTTTATGTTGTGAATGTTAAAAATTGAAATATTTACAGTTTAGATTCACAGTGTAAATCTACAATGTTCGAGGTTTTTTTTATAATCGGTGTTGATGTTTATTAATAGAATAGAAAAAATAAATATTTTTGGTATAATTAGTTTATTTTATAAAAAAAAAAAAGCTTAAATATTGAAAAAAATAAGAAAATTAAGTGGGTTTTTTTCAAAAAAAAAAAAAAAAGTTCGTTTTTTATATATCATCACGGATATCTATGTAAAGAGGACGAAAAATCGTGAACAACGGTATATTCGGATTTTTTTTCGATAAAAAACTTGGCCTAAATTTTTTTTAAAGGAAATGAGTTTTGTTATAATCTGATACATGTGTGTCCATTATAAAAATTTACAACACTTCTTTTTGCTGTTGATCACTTTAAATTCCGATGCTTTGGATTGGTTCCTTGGTTCATTGAATAAAAATGGTTCTCTATTGAACTTTTCCCTATATATATATAGGTTCAACTGAGACCAATACTATTTTGTGAGACAAGGGGACAACATTTAAGCCTTTGATGAAAACTAATCCTATGGTTCTTAAAAAAACATGATTAAGGCTAATTAATGTGTCTGATTAGTTAATTAGGGACAAATTAGTCATTGTTAGGTTAAAGATATCATAACCGGTTCTTGTATCAAAATTACCACCTTAGTTAACGAAATCAGATCTTCATCGCACTTAATCTACAAATATTCGACCAACTATCTAGGATCTTATCGCATATATAAAAAGCGCTGCTATGAGATCGAATTTTTTCGTTGATCGATCAATTATCATCTGTTATCAAAACTGCAATTATGAAAATCACGTTTTTAGTGTTTTGCGACTTCATTTTCACACTCTTCAACCATTTTCTTCGTCATCTGGAAATGATCATTAGATATATGTCGATTTTCAACAAATATGCTTCATCAAATCACATGTATCAACATCAACAAGTTATCACAAAATTATGATCGAATTTTAGCATCTTGATCATCAATTTTCAATAAATAGAGTTAGTTTTTGTTCTCTGATATTCAATTTCAACAATTCTTCATCACATCACATTTATTTAGCTATTTGAGATCTTTTTGAGCAATTTCAAGATTTAAATTCTATTTAATAGATTTGTGATTTTTGTAATATGTCAAGGTTTGACTTTGAGCACTTTCAAGGTTTGATTTTAGCACTCCTCAAGTATATATTATATAAAAGTGACAAGGTATATATAAACTAATTATTATTATTATTCAATTAATTCTCTTAAATTATACATGCACTCTACCTGTTTGATAAAAGTCTTGAATGAAAAAAAGAGTCATATGTATCACTCCTTCCTTCCCATCACTAAATTCATCTTTAAGAATAGAATCATCCTTCTAAAATATGAGTCACAGTTAGTGTAAATAATGTCACCTTGACTATTGTTATTAAATTTACCATAGTTTTGTTAAACATATGTTTTTTTTCTTCATAAACATAATGTTGGTGGTCTTTTTAGCATAGTTTTTTTAAATAT